AGAACATATATGGAATTACCTGATCGCGAAAAAGTATATACCCTTTCCAAATATGAAGATTTCCACATTTAAAATAAATAAAATATCCAAAAACTTTTACCTCTAAATCATCTATTATATTATAAACGTCACCAACGAATTCATACTGCAAGCATTACAAATACTTAGTGTCAAATATTTAAATTATTTCCATGCACGTTTACTTCCACTTAAACGTACACCGAATTGCTACAAACATATAATTCACAAAATAACTATCATTTAATTAAAATATAATTAAACCATGTACACATCGACTTATTTTTACTTAAATACCCTTTCCAAATATGAACATTTCCACGTATAAAATAAATAAAATATCCAAAAACTTTTACCTCTAAATTATCTATTATATTATAAACGTCACCAACGAATTCATACCGCAACCATTACAAATACTTAGTGTCAGATATTTAAATTATTTCCATGCACGTTTACTTCAACTAAAACGTATACCAAATTCCTACAAACATAAAATTCACAAAATAACTATCATTTAATTAAAATATAATTAAATTCAAAAACACTACTTAAAATATAAATGAGCACATACATTAAATTAATAAAAATTAGGGTTGATCTTTACAATATGGTAACTGGTAGTTTGGCGACATTTTGGAGGCGATAAAGGTTACTACCTGGCACTTTGGTAATAATGTGAGCAGTACTCAGTTCCGATTACGCATTATTTTGTGTGAGGGAAATGAGAGATCATGGGATATGTCATGTGATATTAATGGACGAATTACGGTTCCTTAATCGGAAAAGGGGGGAAATCGGGAAATAATCTGGAAATTTTGTATTTGGCTTTATTCTGTGTTGTGTGAAACAGTGTTCGTGAATTTTTGGATCCCATGGCCGTAACTAAAGTGAATTCCAAATGGGTATTTATGTATGTATTAATTTAATGTATGTGCTCATTTATATTTTAAGTAGTGTTTTTGAATTTAATTATATTTAATTAAATGATAGTTATTTTGTGAATTTTATGTTTGTAGGAATTTGGTATACGTTTTAGTTGAAGTAAACGTGCATGAAAATTATTTAAATATCTGACCCTAAGTATTTGTAATGGTTGCGGTATGAATTCGTTGGTGACGTGTATAATGTAATAGATGATTTAGAGGTAAAAGTTTTTGGATATTGTATTTATTTTATATGTGGAAATGTTCATTACTTTTTCGCGATCAGGTAATTTCATATATGTTCTTTTTACCGGGTTTAAAGATTGAGAAAATTGTCATGTATTTTCGTGAAATTTTTTCTAATTTATGAGAAAAAAGCAGTGTACATGGATATAGTGAAGAGTGTGCGCAATGCCATTTTTTGTGCAATTCTGGGATGTTTTTTTAAGTAAAAATAAGTCGGCTTGTACATGGTTTAGTGATATTTTAATTAAATGATAGTTATTTTGTGAATTTTATGTTTGTAGGAATTTGGTATACGTTTAAGTTGAAGTAAACGTGCATGGAAATAATTTAAATATTTGATACTAAGTATTTGTAATGCTTGCGGTATGAATTCGTTGGTGACGTGTATAATGTAATAGATGATTTAGAGGTAAAAGTTTTTGGATATTTTATTTATTTTATATGTGGAAATGTTCATATTTGGAAAGGGTAAATACTTTTTTCGCGATCAGGTAATTTCATATATGTTCTTTTTACCGGGGTTTAAAGATTGAGAAAATTGTCATGTATTTTCATGTGAAATTTTTCTAATTTATGAGAAAAAAGCAGTGTACATGGATATAGTGAAGAGTGTGCGCAATGCCATTTTTGTGCAATACTGGGATGTTTTTTTAAGTAAAAATAAGTCAGCGTGTACATGGTTTATGTGTATGTGTTATTTTGAAAAACGCGTAAGGAGTATGGTATTGTGCACTTTTTCCCAATTTTGCAGTGAATATTTGTCATAATTAAGCAGTTTTGTTAGATAAAATTTGTAGCATAAGTGTAATTCGGCTAGTAGATTGTTGGAAGAAGTGTTCAGTAGATAAAAAGAAAAGAAATATGTTTTTACTTCGTGAAGACAAAATGGCGGCGGGAAAAAAAAATAGAAAGTTGCAGTAGGAGAGTTGGTCGCCAAATTTTCGCCAAAAAAACGCCAAGTTACCATAATGTAAAGATCAACCAAAATTAGCTTACAATCCTAATTACTTTAAACTAAATCATTGCTAATAACAATTTTCCCAATAATACCAAATTACTTTACTTCCACCTTACATTTAGAACAATGCATAAAAATAATATCCTCAAATAATTAAAAATACTACTTAACCTACTTCTAATCTTCTTCAGAATCTTGATTACGTGTCCGATAAACATTTCTTATTTCTGTTTCAGGATCTTTAAAATCATACTTATAGTTCACAGCAAGGTACCAGGTAAAACAAATAACTTAATAAAACATCTTTACTTCTATTTTGCAGAACCTTAAAGAAACACTTATTACTACCCCTTTCAATCCCACTAAATACCCATTTCGAATTCACTTTAGTTAGGGCCATGGGATCCAAAAATTAACGAACACTGTTTCACACAACACAGAATAAAGCCAAATACAAAATTTCCAGATTTCCCCCCTTTTCCGATTAAAGAACCGTAATTCGTCCAGTAATATCACATGACATATCCCATGATCTCTCATTTCCCTCACACAAAATAATGCGTAATCGGAACTGAGTACTGCTCACATTATTACCAAAGTCCCAGGTAGTAACCTTTATTGCCTCCAAAATTTCGCCAAACTACCAGTTACCATATTCTAAAGATCAGCTAAGAATTTTATTCAAATTATCTATCTCCGTAAGCTAAAAATAAAATTTACATTTTATTAAGAAGATAATCTGTTATTTTGTCAATTACTGCAAAATACTTTACAATATATTTAGTGATCATCAGTCTGAATAAGAAAAAGTGTGCGTCTCTACAGAAGACATTCCTTGTGATCAAACTGACTATTTTGTTAGAAAAGATAAAACAACAAAATGGAAGAAAGAACCCTTTCAAATTCAAAGATTCCTATAATATCATAAAAAAATTACCTGGCAATACACATATATCTAAAGATGTGGCTTCACCCATCAATGCATGAAAGCTAATACTGATGACACGATTGAAATGATTGCGAGATGCTTTAATATTTATGTAAAAAATATTTCAGGAAATTTTAAAAGAGACGCAAAATCTATGGAGAAAGAAGAGTTTCTTGCTTTTTTAGGACTCATACATAGATGGATTGCACAAATCCTTCCCTGTAAATGCTAGAGAATTATGGGCGACTGATGGAAGAAGATTGGATATTTTTCATAAAACAAACTATATATTTTCTTTTCATTTTTCGTGCCTTACGATTCGATAATGTCGGAACACGAGATGACAGAAGAAAGAGGGATACATTAGCTCCAATAAGAGATTTGTTTGAAAATTTTGTCGAGAATTGTCAGAAATTATATCTGTAGGAATACGTGACTTTGGACGAAAACTAGAACTTTCAGGACGATGTTCCTTTTGGCAGTATATGCCTGAGAACTGCCAGATATGGTATAAAATATTTACTGTGGTGATTTTAGACCTTCTATACTTTCAACATGGAAATTTACTCTGGTCAGCAGCCAGATGGGTCATACAAGAAAAACAGTTTGTGAAAAAGCAAAGTGCATCCTCTCCATTATACATTCTGGAAGAAATGTTTTTTCAGAATTTCATGTTTTGTTTGACACAGACAGTTGGTATACCGGTTATGAGTTTGGGAATTTCTTACAGAAAAATAAAATTTCTATCATTGGAACAATATGCAAGGATAAGAAGATTATCCCACCTGAATTTGTGTCAAATAAGAATAGAGAACAGCATTCAACTCTCTTGAGTTTTCAGAAGGATATAATGCTATTTTCTTATACGGCTGAAAAGAACAAATGTGTTAAACTTTGTCAACTATGCACAATGATGACCATACTGATGAAAGCACGAGAGATTTGAAGAAATCTGAAGTAATTACATTTTATAACATGACAAAAGGAGCAGTTGATATAGTCGACGAAATGAGTGGCACTTATTCTGTGACCCGAATATCAAATCGATGGGCATATTTTTTTCGCTATTAAATTTTGCTGGCATAAATTCAAGGACCTTGCTTTTATCTACTAAAACTCAACCAGAGAAGTTCAGGAATAGGAGACATTCTGATTTGGCCTTGCAGTTTTTAGATCTCATTTGAAATCACAACAGAACCATAGAATACACGAAAATCTCTTGAAGATTTGCAACAAAGAAAAGAAATTATGTTACTGGAGATTTACATGTGCTCCAAGAAAAAAAGACACAAAATCAAACACTGTATGTGTGAAGTGTAAAAAAAAAATATGTCAAGAACACTGTGAAATAGAAGCTTCATGTATAAACTACAAAATACCTAATTCTTCTTGAGCCTAATTGATTTGAAAATTAATTATATAACTCATTGTCCATGTAATAATTCTGCAGGATTTAGATTATAATTGCATTCAAAAATTAAAAACACAAATTTCTCAGAGAAATCATGATTCCTAGTCATCTAGAAAATGTAAGTACTTTTATTCGTTATTAATTTTAAAATTAACATTATTTTTAAGCTATTTTATATAATAAATGTTGCAATTAATACATAATGCATTATTTTACTGAATTGTAATATGTTTCATTTGTATGCAATTTAATTGCGACGCGCGTTCTCGTGTTAAATAATACAGCGTGCGTCCTCCCGGGTTAACCATACACCGCTAAATGTCATTATCAACCTATTTATTTTACTTCTTTATGCTAAATATCTTATAACTTGACGGAAACGGGTTCTTTCCCGGAGCGCCAACGGGTTCTCTGCGGATGAAAACCCTCCCTATTAATAAAAATGTTACAAACATACATATATAGCACATACTTCTAATAATTCAAATTTGTACAGATATATCCAAATCTTACCAATGTCAACACCTTTGATTTCGGTACATCTCAGAGGTAGAAAAGCTAGTAAGTCTTCGATCCACAGTATATAATTAAGTCTTTGTGGTATTGTTGGTATAAGAAAACCAGAAGGAATTTCAACATTAAGATTAAAATCTTTTTTTAATAAAAGTTTAGTTACTAATCTCAGAGCATCGGGATCAGAAAAATCCACGTGAATTTTTCCCCTTTCATCTGGCACAGCATATTTTCGAAATTCGGGATATTCCAAGGCAATTTCACCAAAATTTGGACGATTTTTATATATATTACGTTCATGCATACGAGCATTAAACGCCATAATGCAGACCTCAAACGTAAACAAACACAAAATTTGCCGGAAATGATGGTTTTTGAAGTTGAGGTAGATGTTAGCAACTAGATGTTAGCTTATTTCCAGTTTTGGATGTAAAAAATTTTTGCCTTTATAATGAACTATAGAACTTTATAATGTGCCTTCTATAACTGTAGATTTCAGAATTCGAACTTTTAATCTTTAATTTATTGAAAAAATACATAAAAAGTTGTCTTTTTTTAATTTGCTAATAGGGAAAAGTGATTCAGTTAGTTTACAACTCATCTTTTGTATTTCATGTCCGTTAGTTTTAATTTTGTTTCTGGTAATTTTAAAATTTAGCTATACGATAAAAATATGGGTTTAAAAAAAATAACAATTGTTCCTTCAGAATATGAAAAATATGTAGCAAAAAATATTGATGAACACTTAGCTGCAGAGAAGGAATCCAAAAGACCAGAAATAAATATAGAAAATTTTTTATCTCTTATTAGTGAAGGTGCATTTAGTAAGTTTAATGAGAAGGGATTTAGATTTTTGCATTTCTCTCTGGATGAGCAAGCATTTTATTTAATTTTTTTTGATACGAATCGTTGTTTAATAGTTAATTTAATAAATTTTTTTTAGAAGTTGGTCACATTCATGAATTTTTGGAAAAAAGTGAACTTCATATGCATTCCACACCAATTGAATCTAGGGTAGGTTAAAATAAGTTTCTTCTATTTGGTAATAAACTCACTTGATGTCTACATTGTATTTCTGGTATAAACTAATTTTTAAACAAGTTTCTACTATTTTCTACATATTTTTTAATTGCTTAGATAGCAGCTTCCCAATTTAAATACAACGTTTTTATCATCGACACTAGAAGAAAGACTCTTTTATGATTAGGAAGACTATAAATTGCCTGTTGCATGTGCATTATTAACGAATTGCTATACTATTTTATGTATTGTTTTTCTCTAATGATTGCAATATGTGGTTATTTACTCTTCTTAATTATGAATAACCTTATTTGGCTCTTGTGTAGAATTGGGAGCCCCTTCGATTAGCGACAAATTTTTAAAAAATTTTGACTATGAAACCTCATTTCTGGTTATGATAGTTTTAACTTTGTTTTAGCTTCCTGATTTTTTTTTTAATGAAAATAGATTGATGTGTACCTGGACAAATTTAAGGCATTGCACAATGTCTAGTTTGGGCAATTCTGGGATGTTTTTTTAAGTGAAAAAAAAGATCGATGTGTACATGGACACAGAGTTTGTGCAATTCTTTGATTTCTTATTTTGGTTTTGTGTAGCGTCCATCTTGAAATTGTGCCTTCCTGGCGCCGATCTTGGCGTCAAAAAAAAAAAAAAAAAGAAATGTCAATAAACAAGGGGCACCCAATTGTAAACTTTTACTTAATGCATGTAATCTATGAGTTACAAAGTTTCATAAATGCATACTTTTTCACACAAAAAAAATCATAATTTACAAAATAACTAAAATATGGAAAGGGAAGAAAAGAAGCAGAATCATCTTATAGAACTTTAATAGTATTATATTTATTGTTAATTTTGTCATGTTTGATTTTGCTGCAACACCAGTGCTTCATTAAGTCAGGTATCTTAAGTGCAATGTAAAAGTTGCATGGAAGCACGTTTGTTTTCAATTTATTTGACTTCAGATTAAATATATGAAGCAGATCCTGAAAAGTGCTTTAAAATGAATAAGTTTAATGGAAAATTGATGTTGAAGAAGTGACAGATTAATTCGTTAAGAGTTGGAAATTAATATGAAAATTGATGAAATTGAAAATGTTTTATATGCAGAGTCGGTAGTCAAAAACATTTTCTATAAAGAAGATAGCAAAAGGGTAAAAATATATTTACGGGTACCCTTTGGCGAAAATTGGCGGTACATGGATACCGAGTTTATGCAATTCTTTGACTTGTTATTTTGGCTTGAGTAGCGGTGATTGCCGCTACATAAGTTTTTTATTAAAAATTTCCTAAGATATATGAATTTACATTTTGGCATATTTATTATGAGCAATAATAATGAAAATGTGGTTCACACACTCTGTTAAAATTATTGGTAAAATCCTAGTTTACGGTGCAGCCTTGGCGCGATTTAAAAAATTATCGCTAACACCAAAAATTACCAAAAGAACATCTATGTATTATATATAGTGATAGTACACTATATACATAGTATATACTATGTATAACTATATATATTCTTTGAATACCCATTTACTACTTATCGTATATGTCCCATTTTTTAATGCTCATCATAAAAGTCGCCAAAAGTAGCCAAATCCCGTGTGCACCGCATACTAGGATTAAACCAAATTATTTGAAAGTATGAATGCTGACTTCTTTCCCTGCTTGTGAATAATGAAAAAAAGGAAAGGAAAATAGGTTGCTATAAATTAAGAAGTTCGCCAAGTAAATTATTGAAAAAAATCTGCCAAGATAAATTTTTAAATTTCTCACCAACACTTACAAAATTTAATTTCTAGGCATAATTTCTGTCATAGAATCAAAATGTTGAAAAACATTGCTACATTATTTCAGGAAAAGGTCCGATTTTGTGTCAAAAAACCTATATTAGGACAATGCTATATATAAATCTAATACAGTCAAAAGTCGTTAATTCGGACACCCATAATTCGGAATGATCTATAATCCGGACATCAAAACTAAAAACTTTCTGCGCATGCGCCGCATTGACACATGCGCAGAGGCGTTCACGCGTGCGCGTAAGACCTTTTACGACTGCGCATATGAGTGTGCGCAAGTGCAGAATACGTTTTCGCGTGCGCATTTTATGTACAATGGAACATATAAGCTAAATAATTATCTATTTCAGTTAATGTTGATGATTGCGTTGTTCCTTAATTTTCGAATTGCATCCGGCTTATTATTTTTTGCAGACTGTAAGAGCAATTTTATAAAAATAAGCTTAAACTTTCGATTATATCAAATAGAATTTCCGATATATATTTGTTAATATGTAAAGGATCTAAAGCGAAAGTATGTTTTGAAATCCGAAATCTGTTTATCATTTTCACGCTGCTCGGCGGCGGGCGCGTAATGAATTGGAAGTTGGTTTGTCAGCACTATCCTTATCTTCAGCGCAGATGTTTTTATTTTATTTGGCTTATAATTCCTTACCAAATGTAGTATTTCATCTCGATATGCTCCGTCTTTGATATGATTTAAAACAAGTTCCTCGTCTTTATAATTCGCTTCCGATAGCGAAGAAAAGTGACAGAGGTTATTGAAAACAAAAAAATTTCGATTGACAAATTAGTCGGTGTTCTTGACACAGCAATTATAGGACTTGAACTGCGCAACTTTGTAACTGAAACAAGAAATTATGTCTGTTTAATAGAATTAAAGAGAAAGTATTATCACATGAAACGAAGCAAAACTTAAACAACTTACATTGAAAGAAATGTTTAATAAAGTAAACAAATAAATATTAAGCTTTTTCTTTTTGCAAATTTTGATACCCTTTAGATCATAATTGTTCTTTATTTCATAAATTACGGTTTCATATTTTTAATTTTGGAATTTCTGCATGCCATCTTACGAGATTTAAACTGATGATCTATAATCCGGAAAAATCGATAATCCGGAATCGCCGAAGTCCCGACGAGTCCGGATTAACGACTTTTGACTGTATATATTCTAAGTTGCACTTCCGAGACGTGAAAAACGCAATTTGAATTTCGTCAATCGGCCCAGTAGAACAGGGGATGTAGAACTATCCCCCCTTTTTTTGCGTAGTGTACCTTCATTGAAAGCGGTTCATTGGTTCTCGTATGTTTGCTGCTTGCTGCATCGAATACGTTCATACTCCACGTTCTAGCAGTCGCGAAAATTCTTCATTCAATTTGCCAATTTTCTATTACTTGTGTTTTTGTAGTAAAAGTAGTTTGGTGTGCTATATATGTGATGCATGTGTGACACTTCCAAAGAAAGGAAACACTGAAGGCATTTTAAAAACATGCATGGAAGTTTTCATATATTTAAAAGTGAATTGCATAAATAAAAGTTAAAATTTAAATCACGGTTAATTGGACAACAATTAAAATTTTATTAAACCCAATACTATATCTAAGGCTGCAACAGTTGCATATTTTCGTGTCAGTCATGTGTTAGCAAAACATAAGAAAGCTTTTGCAGATGGAGAAATGATACAAAAAGCGTTTCTGGAAGAAAATGATTCATTATTTGATTCATTCAAGAGCAAAAATAAAATTATCCATGCAATTAAAGACGTACAACTTTCAGGTAGAACTGTCACATGTCGTATAGAAATGATGAATTCTGATCTGATCAGATGTCTATTATGACTTCACAAAATATGTAGAGGAAGAAAAAATCCAATTTATAAAGTTGTATCAATGACAGCTGATAGGGCCCCATTAATGACTGGCACAGTCAAAGGGTTTTTAGCTATGTGTATCAGAGATGATGGCATACCTCATTTCCTTTCTAATCATTGCGTTATTCACCAACAGGCTCTCTATCATAAAATTTTAAATATGCATCATGTTATGGGAATCTGCATGAAAATTGCAAACTCAATTCAAGGAAGAAGTCTTCAGAGAAGAATGTTTCAGGCCAAACAGGAAAAAAAAAAAAAAACGAATCTGCTTATGGGGAATTGTTAAATCATGCAGATGTTCCTTGGTTAAGTGGGAGTGTATGTTTATAAAGTTTCAGAGACCTACTACAAGAGGTAAAAGATTTTTTGGAATCAAATCATAAAACAGATGTTGGAATTGGTAATGATGTTTGGTTGATGGATTTAGTTTTTGTTTTTTTATAGCGAGCAATCTTAATGAATTGATCTTACAATTGCAAGGAGAAAAAAAAATCAAACAATAGGAGAATTGATTAGATTTGTTAATACTTTCAAAAACAAGTTAATATCTTCCCAGTTGATGAAGAATGAACCTTTTTAAACCTATTTCTGGCAAGCTGTTTAAAAACAGAAGGACATTAAACAAAGATAAATACTATGATAAAATAATA